GTACCAGGAAGGAAAACGAAGTAGTGTAAGGGAATAGAAACCGGAAGTACTGTTTTAACCAGGGTAGTAAGGGAGCGGGGGGCAGTGAAGAGAGAAAACCGCTCTATTGGTGAGAAAGCGCTTTGCTGGGAAAGGGAGCAAAGGGTAAAGGCCCTGAGGGAGGAGCCTTTCCATAAAACTCAAAACGTCCGCTTTGTGGAGGCAGGTGTGCCAGACGGAGTCTGTCAGGTAGCCAGGGGCTAGGTCCTGTTGGATTTTATTCAACGAAATTTAGGAGGAGCTTGAAGGATATTAGAGGAATGATGGGATATGTCTTAAGATTTTAAAAGATCCCTCTGATTGCTGATTGTGAATAGACCAGAGAGGAGTCTTGGGGATCGGGAGGTTGTAAGGGTGGGAGCAAAGAGACCAGGTAGGAGGTAACTGTACGTGATGAATAGGATGCCAGTGTGGCTCAGGTGAAATGAGCTAGGGAAAGAATGATAGCCACGGGGCAGATCTGACAGGGCCTTGTAGATCACGGAATTCTTTGAAGAGTTGGGAGGCCCTGGGAAGAGTAACGTGGTCCCGCTTAAGTGTTACAAGGAATACTCAAGTTGCTGTGTGAATAGACCTAGAGGGGCAAGCACGGAAGCAGGCAGAGAGCGCAGTTACTGGGCTGGAGAGAGAGGATGGATTAGACTGGAGGTGGAGGAGGTAGTGGGATTTGGGCTCTAATTTGAAGGTAGAGCCACAGGTCTTGCTAACGGAATACGGAGTATGAGTGAAAGAATGGTGGTGCTGTTTACTGAGCTGGGGAACGCGGTGGGAGGAGCAAATCTGGCACAGCTATGGTTTGGAGCAAGTTAAGTGTCAACTGTCTAGGAGACACCAGTGGGTGTTGAGTGGACTGTTGACCATTCCAGCTTGGAGTTCAGGCCGGAGCAGTGAAATTACAAGCCACGACTGTCTAGGTGGTATTAAAACCATGAACATAGCTGGGAGGAGAGTACAGATAAGAGTAGAAAGATCTAAGGACCACGACCTGGAGTACTCCCACATTTTTAGATGGACAAAAGAAGGAAAATCCAGCTTAGGAAACTGGAAGGAAGTGGCTGTTGAGTAAGAGGAAAACCAAGGGATTGTGTATCTGTAAAGCCAGTCGAAGAAAGTCTTTTTGAAAGAAGAAGCTGATCACCTGGGTTGAATACTGCTGAGAAGTGAGGTTGGATTGACCTACTCACTAGTGGTGTGACCTCAAGCAAAGCAGTTGCTCTCCCTGGGCCACTGTTCCCTCACTTGCAAAGATGGGCAGTCTCGGGGTCGTTAGGAAATGTGAAAGTGCCTGGCACGTTAAAGTCAGAGTCGTACCCCCATCCAGCCAGCACTGTGCCCCTCACAGGTCAGCCCTGAACGTCAAAGGAGATGAAAGTGAGAAGGTGCTTTGTGTGCCGCACAGCGCCCTACAGAACCCATGAGCTAAAGTCTCTGTTCTGCTGCAGGGTCTTGTCACCCCAAATCAACTTTGATTTCAAAGCTCATATGGAAGGGGTCTGGAAAATTAAAGGTATATCTTGTTTAACCTCTCTGATTTCAGTTCTGTTCATCACTTAGGCACTGATTACAAAACATAAAATGTGTACTTGGAGAGCACATGTCCGCAAGTTTAGTGGGTTCTGAAAATTACTTCTCTTCCATCTTCCTGAGAAGAGGAGCCAAGGCCAGATGTCACAGGTGGTCCAGATTACTGATGTAGTGCTAGAAAAGTCTTCACATCTACCCTCAGCCATAGTGACCTAGTAATATTGGCACCTACTGTGTGCTTCGCCCCTAGAAGGTGAAGGCTGAGAATGCAAGGACAGTGTCATCTTCACCACTGTGACCTCAGGTCTTGGCCCATTAGCACCCAATACATGTTAGGGACCTCTGGGCACAAGGAGAGGTACAGGCAATGAGCAAGACGGCTGTGGTCCCTGCTCTCGCAGAGCATACTGTGAAGAATAAAGGAGACAAGAAAAATAACATCTCCTATGGTTAGCGCTATGAGGAAGCAAACCAGTGTGAGGGTGATGGGATAGCTTCTCTGAGAAGTGGTATTTCAGCTCAGATCTGGAGGTGGGAAAGGAGCCAGCCATGCAGAAGGGCTGAGATAAGATGAGCATTCTGAACAGGATGCCTGTGGGAAGACACAGCAAGCCTTCAACCTCCCCTTCCCTCTGAGCCTCTTTGTCAGTGGAAATATCCCCCGTGTCTGCCTGAGGAGATGAGTCTTTGCCTACTTGAAGTCCTGTTAGTGAACTCACTTGAGGTCTTTACCTGGCAAGACTCACCCCTCATTAACTCCAGTCCATAATTGGAGTCAGATCCTAGCATGCCAGGGAAACAACAGCAAAGCCTGATTTAGGAGATGGTCACACCAGGAAAGAACTGCAGGATATTCATGCATTCACCAGCAGAAATTAAGGGAGAATATGAGAGATAGATTCCAGTAGTGTCAGTCCAGGTACACAGAGCACGTTGTTGGGTTGGGCTGGACTTATCAATAGAGCAGATTTACCAGAGATTCTGGATTCAGTGTGTGAACAGTTAGGCGGGACTTGATAGTTTGCTTCACTAAGCTGGTGGAGTGGGGTTTGGAGTGTCCTGCACTGGTGGCTGACTTAAAGTCTACTTGAACCTCATCTGACTGTGCTGCCCTGATGCACTCACCAGATGACCCCACAGATCTAGGGCAGGCTGTTTGTGGCAGATTCCAATAGCAGAGTCAGCACAGACCAAGGGGTTTAGAGCAAAGATATACCTTCGAAAAAGAATCCTCCTACACTGCTGGTGGGAATGTAGTTTGGTGCCGCCATTTTGAAAAACAGTATGGGAATTCCTCAAAAAACTAATCCAGCAATCGCACTCCTGGGTATATATCCAGAGTGAAGTCTAATTCAAAAAGATGCATGCACCCCAGTGTTCATAGCAACACTATTTACAATAGTCAAGACATGGAAGCAACCTAAATGTCCAACAGATGACTGGATAAAGAAGTTGTGGTATATTTATATAATGGAATACTACTCAACCATAAAAAATAATAAAATAATGTCATTTGCAGCAACATGGATGGACCTAGAGGTCTTCTTTCTGAGTAAAATAACCAGAAAGAGAAAGAAAAATACCATATGATACCACTCATATGTGGAATCTTAAAAAAAAAAAAAGACTATGAATTCAGTCTACAAAACAGAGACTTGCAGGTAAAGTAAACAATCATCCTTACCAGGGAAAAGGGATGGGAAGGGATAAATATGGGAGTTTGAGACTTGCAAGTGTTAGCCACTATGTATAAAAATAGATTTAAAAAAAAACGAGTTTCTTCTGTACAGCACAGGGAACTATATTCAATATCTTGTAATAACCTTTAATGAAAAAGAATATGAAAATGAAATTTAAAAAAAAGACACATCTTTGGCAAATAACTATTTTCCACTTGAACAACAGCTCCAGACTTGCTCCTGAACACTGGTAGAGACCGGATGCAAGACTACAAGGCCCCAGATAAGCATGTGACCTGAACTGGGTGTGACATGATCCACCAAGCCACATGCACCATCAGTAGGAAGTTGATGTGTACGATGCCAGCAACCTTGAGCAGGTCCCAGGAGCACAAGTAAGTTGTGGCTGAGACATCCATGGTACCTCCTCCATCCCCGTCCTCACCCACTCCCTACAGCAGTGGCCTCGGGGGATCCTCTGTAGGCAGAAGAGTGAAGAAGGAAAATGCAGTCCCAGTTAACAGATTGCTTTGTAAATATACTGGTACCAGGCAGAACAGGAACACTATGCATAACAGCTTCCCTCAGCCTGCCTGAAAGGTAGAGGTGAAGGGGCTTCTTCCAGAGGGCCACCTCCCTGGGGGAAGAGAAAGCCAGAGGTCCAGGATCCACACCAGTTTAGGGGTGGGAGCTGACAGATTGACTGATGGTCCAGGAACTTGGACAGAGCAAGACTGGAGACTTAAAGACAAAAGGATCTGGGGAAGGGGTTTGTGGATGAACCTCTGAGAACAGGGAGAGATGTGAGGGGGTGTAGCCCACGTGCGTGTTCACCAAAGGGCCCCTCCTACACAGGGGGCCTTGCTGGTACCTCTTGGTTGGTCTCCTTCTCCAGCCATCCTCCGGTGTTGCCCAGTGCTTGCTTGACCATGACCACATCTGGAGCTGACACAGCAAGCATGTCATCAAGGACCCCAGGTCTTTCCATCTTTCTCCTTCATTCTTGCCATGTTGGTTTTAGGCTTATGCTAATTGCCGCATGGTTCCAAAATGCCTGCTGTTCCAGACTTCATCACTGCATTAGACAGGAATGAAGGGAAAGGACCAGTGGCAAAACGGTCTTTCCTCATTAGGTCTCAAGGCTTTGTCTTTTTACTAAGGAAGGGAAGATCTCCGTAGTCTTCCCCTTACATCTTATTTGTCAGAACTGGGTCACTAGCTCACCCTGAGACCAATTACTGGTCAAAGGGAATGAGACTGCTAGGACTACTGTGTATACCATTTAAGATTTATCCCCTGGAGCTGTCTCCCTGAGATCAAAGAATATCTGATCCCTACTGTTGAAAACTGAGGGGGGTGGGAGGTGAGGTTTGAGACAGGGAATGGTTGCAGGTTAGACAATAACCAGTGTTGACCAAAGTTGCCAACATTCAAAATTCTGGAGATTTTACTTATAAATCTATCTCAAAGAGTAGGAGGGTGAGACAACACTGACCCCACATTGCCTTGTGGCAAAGTTGGCTGTCATCTTTGGATGAGTCACGGGCTCTCGGGCCCCACTTGGCCCTACCACTGTCCACCACTGCCCTGTCTGCTTCATCCACTTCCATTGCCTGCTTGGCCCCTGTGAGCATTTGAGTTTGTGGCTCTGACTTAAGGCATTGTTCTGGAGTGGTCTGTTTGCTTGCATGTTTCTCCCACTGACCTAGCATTGTGTTGGACCAGGAAAGTGTAAATAAGATGGAAAAAAAATGGCCCTCCCTGATAAGCCAGGCTATCACATGGCATGAGAACAGTGGTGGAGGCTCTGCCCAGTTTCAGTCTCGCCCCATCTACTCCCTGGCTCCTGCAGTCTGATTCTCATTTTCCTCGTCGGTAAATGAGGCTCGTTGCATCTGCTCCCCAGCGTTCACTGAGAAGCTGGTGTGAGCTCATGCATATAAAGCCTCAGGCAAAAAACTTGCAAGTTCCCTGCTCTTTCTCCTGGAAAGAGGAGTAACCAAAGTTGAAATGAATTTGGGATGGAATTAGGAAGGAAAATTTTTAAGAGCTGAGACTACATCTTGTTAGCTTTGCATGGCTAGAAGTGCTTAATAAATATTTAATAATGATAATAGTCTTCATTTAGCTCTGTAGAAGATAATTATACAAATTGTAAAAATATAATTATGCCAGGCTGTCATTACAGATAATGACCTGAACACGGGGATAATGTGGGCAAACCGGAGCCCACCGTGGTGATGGCTGCCAGCAAGCAGGCAGCTTGCAGAGCTGCTCCAGATATTCATGGGGAGAGCTGGGAGGAGGGATAGGGGAGGCACTCTGGGTCAAGGAGAGAGGTTGGCGGGAGCCAGACTGTACGTGGGCTTGTGATCCAGAATGGAATAGGGGAAAATCATTGGAGAGTTTTCAGCAGGAAAGTGACAAGAGCTGATACATGATTTGGGGGGCAAGTTTTTTATCATGGCAAAATATATATAACAAAAAATTTACTTTTTAGACCATTTTTAAGTATAAAGTTCAGTGGCATTAAGTCCATTCACATTATTGTACAGCCATTACCACCATCCACCTCCAGAAACTTTACAGCTTCCCAAACTGAGACTCTGTCCCCGTTAAACACTGACTCACTATTCCCCCTTCTCCCAGCCTGGGGCCCCTACCATCCTACTTTCTGTCTCTATGAACTTTGCTCCAGGTCCCTCATACAAGTGTAATCATACAGCATTTATCCTTTGGGACTGGCTTATTTCACTTAGCAAAATGACCTCAAGGTTGATCCACGTTGTAGGAGGTATCAGAACTTCATTCCTTTTTAAAGCTGAATTAGATTCCATTGTATGGATAGACCACGTTGGGTTTGTCCATCCATCCATGGGTGCTTGGGTTGCGTCTACCTTTTGGCTGTTGTGAATAACGCTTCTGTGAACATGGATGTACAGATATCTGCTCCGGTCTCTACTTTAAACTCTTTTGATTATACACCCAGAAGTCAAATTGTTAAATCATATAGTAATTCTGTGTTAATTTTTTGAGGAATGTCCATACTGTTTTCTACAGTGGCTGCACCATTTTAACATTCCCACCAGCCATGTCTGAAGGTTCCAGTTTCTCCACATCCTGTCCAACAATACTTTTGTTATTTTTTAATGATAGCTACCCTAATGGGTGTGAAGTAGTATCTCATTGTGGTTTGGATTTGCATTTCTGTAATGATTAGTGAGGTTGAACGGCTTTTCACAGGCTTATTGGCCATTTGCATGTTTTCTTTGGTGAAAAGTCTATTTAAATCCTTTGTCCCCTTTTTAACCAGTTGTTTGTTTTCTATAGTTGAGTTTTAGTCCTTTATTCCAGGTATTAACCCCCATCAGATGCATAATTTGCAAATATTCTCTCCCGTTCAGTGCCTGCCTGTTCAGTCTTGAGTGGGATGCATGAAAGTTTTTGTTTGATGCCACCTAACATATCTGTTTTTTTCTTTTGTTGCCTCTCCTTTTGGTGTCGTAAGCAAGAAATTGCCAAATACAATGTTAAGAAGACTTTCCTTCTGTTTCCTCTAAGAGTTTTATAGTTTTAGCTCTTAAGTTTAGGTCTTCACTCCATTTTGGGTTAATTTTTGTATATAAGGTGAGTCCAACTTCATTCTTTTGCAGGTGGATGTTCAGTTTTCTCAGCATCATCTGCTAAAAAGACTGTCCTTTCAGCCCTGAGTGGTCTTGGCACTCTGATCAAAAATCATCTGACCATATGCGCAAGGGTTTATTCCTGGTCTCTCTATTCTATTCCGTTAGTCAACGTGTCTGTCTTTATGACAGCACCACATTGTTTTGATTATGACAGCTTTGGAGTATGTTTTGAAATGAAGATGTGAGACTTTCTACTCTGTTTCTTTTTTTTTTTTAAGATTGTTTTGGCTGTTCAATTTCTTGAGATTCCGTATAAAGTGTAGGATGAATTTTTCTGTTTCTGCAGAAAAAATCATCGGCTGATACCTGATTTTAGCTTGGAGGTGTGGTAATCATGGAAGCAGGAGTCCAGTTAAGAGACAGTTTGGGCAAAGATTGCTGGTGTTTCTGAATGACATGGTAGCACTGGAGGTACAGAAACCTGGAGGGATTTGGGAAGTGTTTCGATGGTGAAATCAATAGGATTTAGTGATAGACTGGATGTGAGTGAGGAGGAAAGAAGAAATCAAGAATGGTTCCTTGGTTGTGGGTTAGAGGAAATGGTGGTGCCCATTTCTGGGATGGAAAGAATGGAGAAGGAGCAGTTTGGGAACCAGAGGTGTCGAGAGTTCCTTTGAGGGCATGGGTGGCTAGGAGACAACCAGATGGAAGGAAAGGCAGCTACACCGTGGACCCCAAGCTTGGGGCGCAGGGGAGACTGCAGGGCTGGGGAGGGAAGTAGGAGTGTCGGTACCAGATGGGTGACTTGCAGAGCCCTGAGACTGGTCGGGCGACTGAGGGAGAATAGTAGCTGGAGAAGGAGGTCTGAGGAGCCAGCCTACCTGGTTATTCCATGCAAGGGACCAGAGGAGGGAGGGGTCAGTAAAGCTCCTGGGGAGACTGTGCCCAAGTGTGAAAGTCACAGGAGACTCAGGAGCCAGGGCTCCTCCATGACCCTGTGCTTTGGGGCTGGTACTCTGCTACTGCAGGGAGGCAGCGGGGCAGCGCTCTCCTTAACCTCAGGGTTGGGAACTCCCAGCCCCCATGCAGCCCACTTCTGGCCCACTGCTGTCCACCAGGCCCCACTGTGTCCCTTCTTCATGCCCCTCCTCCCCCTTGAAGGCTTTCCCCTATGTGCTCGCCCTCCGGTGGATGACCCCGGGCTTGCCCTCCTGTGTGATCCTTGTCCAGGTGGTGGGGCCTGAGAGCGCTTGAAGACCACCAGTGTGTGCTTTGTTCACCTTCACTTCCCCAGTGCCCAGTATGGAGCCTGGAACATGCTGCTCTGGGTGGAGAGATTAAGGGGTATTTTTTAAATTATTTTTTCATTAATGGTCTAATTTTTGTATCCTGGCTATATATTATTTGTGTAATTGTTAAAAAGAACAAGATTAAAAACACCCAGAGAAGTGGAAGTGGAATAAATGTTGGTTTGGAAATGATAACCAAATAACAAAAGCTAAATGCATCCATTCACATCATTCACATGTGACGATGGATTGAGTACCCTTGGTGGGCAGCACTGGTCCGGGAGCTGAGGACGTGAGCTCTGCAAGAAGAGGCCTGGTCAAGTGGCACCCAGTGTTGGAGAGGGTGCTGCAGCTGCTGCCCTCACTTGCTGCTGCTGCTAAAGTTGTCCGGACATGTTGGAAAACAGGGTGGCAATTCTTAAGAAGTTGTACATGTTATTTCTCCTAGTGTTTACCCAAAGAAATAAATGCTTATGTCCACACAGACGATTGTCCCTCTATGTCCCTATCAGCTTTATTCATAATGACTAAAGATGGAAACAACCCAGATGCCCACGAACAGATGGAAGTGACAAATGGTGGCACTTCCACACAAGGGACTTAGCAATAAACAAAGAATCACTGAGACACACTGCAACCTGGATGAACCTCAGAGGCATTACAGCAAATGAAAGAAGCCAGACACAGCAGAGGACATGCTGCGCTACTCCATTTCTGTGAAATTCTAGATCAGGCAAAGCTAATCTACAGTGACAGAGGACAGATCCCTGGTTGCCTGCCAGGGTGGGGACGGGGCTGACTACAGGGGACATGGTGGGGACTCTGTATCTTGATGGGATGGTTGGTCACAAGGGTGTGTACATTTGCCAAAACTCATTAAACTGTACACTTGAAATGGATGCCTGTTATGGTATGAAATTATATCATGATGAAGGTGATTTTTTTAAAAAACGAAAGACACTGTCCCTGATGGAGCCAGTGGGGGTGAGAGATGAAATTCAAGGAACAGCAGAAATGCACGCAGGGTCACAGACTGTGGTAAGTGTCCTGAAGAAAATGCACAGGGGCTCAGAAGGCACCTCGCAGAGGAGCCCCGGGAAGCAAGAGGCCAGGACTGCTTGGGGGAGGCAAGGTGAGTTTCACAGCAGACGTGAAATCTGACCTGGGGCTTAGCACCCTTATCATCATTTTCTTTTTCAAAAGCAGCACTTCTTGCGTATAGAGAAAAATGAGGGAAAGCAGACCTGTGAAAGGAAGAGGAGAGACCTCGTGTGTTCACCTGCCCTCCTGCCTCACACAGCTTTCTGCACCTGCCCCTCCACACCTTCCGCCTGGAGCTGGGCCTACAAAGACAAGCAGGAAGGAGTTCCCCACACAGAGAAGGAAGGGCACTTGGGGCAGGAGGAACAGCTCATACAGGGGCTGGGTCCCAAGTGAACTCCAGGCTGAAGATCGGGCTAGGACTGTGCCACCCACACTGGAGAAGATGGGTCACAGTTGCAGCCCTGGTTAGAGCTGCAAAGAGGGAGTGGCCAGGACCCAAATTCCTGATGGGGCCGGGGAGAAGACACAAAGAGGTCTGGGATTGGCTTTGATTAGAAATCGCACCGTTATCCGCATGGGTCTGTGCCCTGGGGCTTACAGAATGTCGCTCTTGATTCACAAACCACAAAGCTCTTAATTCCATCCATCAGTGATTAAGCTCAGAAATAATTGGGGGAATCGGGTCCCCCAGGGCATTCATGTGGTGCCCACATGGCCAGATTCCTTTACAGGCACGGCTGACTAACTGTCCCCTGTGTCATGAACACCCCTATTGTCTCTCCTTTTTGTGTTTCTAATCAGAACCCAGCACTGTCCTGGGTTTGGATTAGGGGCAGGCTGGAAACCTGGAGCAGCTTGGATTGTGGGCAGGCCCTGGGGGGCCGGGAGGCTGGAGCCTGGAATCCTCCCCGCTGAGAGCTGGGTTTGGGGGTGGGGGTTGTTCTTCAGTGCGGCTTGCGTAGTGCTTTCCCATCACTCACAGATCAGCCTCCACTGTAAGTCTCTGGCCCTAGCTCCAGGAACTGAGCTCAGCTCAGGGGAAGGCGTTTGCAAAGCACTCACCCTCAGACCCAGCAACCTGCTGCCAGGTCTGGATGCCTTAGGGACCCTGGCCCCTCCAGGCCCTGTCCAGCCCTGCCTTCACCGGCTCCACCAGTGACCTCGAGGAGCACTTTTTGTCCCGATGCTCATCTGGATGTCAGTTTCATTATTTCCCAGGATTGGGGGCTTGCTGATCTGTGTGACATCAGGCAAGTTGCTTTGGCTCTCTGCCCACCCCCTTCCCCAGCCATAAAAGAATGGCACTGATTTGGCAGCTGGCGTGAGGATCCGGTGAGCAGCATGAACCGGCACCTCCCTGGTGCCTGGCACATAACGTGCAGTAGATGGATAATGTCTGTGTGCTCATCCATCACGCATTGTGCCCTGTGATTAAGCAGCTGAGTGTTTGCATATGTCCTAGTTTGCATAGGTGGTCCTGGCTGACATCATTTGATCCAGAGTGGTAATTAACAAACCCTTCTTTCACTCTCAAAAATGTCCTAACTTAGATGACAAATGACATTGTTAGTACAGCACTAACCAACTGCCTCCACCCTTTCTCACCTGGGAAGGAAAAAGCAGCCATCTGAGTGCTGCTTGTATGTCATTTTACAGCCTGGGAGTTAGAGGTGGATTCCAGATACGTTTCAGGGCTAGACTGGTTTGCCTAGAATGCACACCAAATCAAGTTCACGTTTCTTGTATGACAAGGTGTTCAGCCTTCAGAAGAATCCTTGCTGTTTTCTTTGTTTCTTTGTTTATGAAAAAGAGGTCTTTTGTCTTTTGAGCAATAATTTTCTTTCTTTTCTTTGTAAATAAATCTCTCTGGGGACTCCTTTGCCAGAACTCCAGCTAGCACAGTGACCACATTCAGGAAAGGCCAACTGGGGGCAGAGAGGGCACTGTCGCCCCCTTAGAGTTGGGGGAGGACCACGTCAGGGTGTTGAGCGCCTATGTCATCAGATTTCCCCATCTTCCCTGGGGGTCTGGAGGAAGCCTGAGCCCCAGTGTGGGGGGCTCAAGTGCTGTGAAATGCCACACACCTCCCTCAAGCCTGGAATCATGTTGGCTCAGTGTGGTCACCCAGTGGGAGCTCCTGCTGCTCGGAAGCTCTTGGGGTGATCTTCAAAGAGTCTGATTAATAAGGATGGTGAGATGAAGCAGTGATTCCTTAACGGATGTGGCTGGCTTGGAAGGGCTCTCGGACACACGCCACGGGGCAGCGCAAGTGCACTCACTCGGCAGCTCTCTGGTGTGTGTATCTGAGGCCTTAGGAGGCCTTTGCCCCTGAGAATGTCTCTGAGGAAATCATCTGAAATTTGGAAAACTCATTATGCACAAAGATGCTGGTAACTGTCATCTATAGCAGTAAACGTGGGACGGTTCAGCTCCCGACACGGTGTTGGGTTGTGGTTCACCGCGGCGCAGCCCTGATGGGATTGAGCACAGTCGGTCAGAGTGAGATGCAGACACACGGAATGAGACTCGCTTGTCCCCAGACCTGCCTGCCCTCCACCACCTCTCGTCATTAGTCTGGTTGATTTTCTTTTTAGGGAGGTAGGGGGCGGGGAGAGAACGCCGTTGTGAATGTCGGAAATAGAAAGCGTGCATAAAGATTTTGAAAACGATGCTTAGGCATAACTGGCAACGGCGGGGAAAATGCTTTCTGTTCAGCGAAGCAGGCTAGGAGGCTGTACTCATGCTGGGATGTTACCCACGTTATCTGCAAACTTGGGTTCAAGAAAACTTTCAAGGGATAATTTTCCATGTTTATCCCGTTTCTGCGTGAGTTCCGTATTGCAGGATATTAGGGAACCAACAATATCTATTAAACAGAATGTCACGCATAAGACAAAAGTTACGAACAGTGGTGATGAAAAGGTTGTGACCAGGGATTCACAGGAGCCCAGCCCTGTGTGTTCCCCGAGGTGCCGTGGCCCGGGGTGTTACTAATTCAGTGTTACTAGTGACTTTAAAAACTGCCACTGATAATGAGCATCAACTGTATCATAAAGCAGGAGGAAGCAGTCGTGCTCCTGTGATGAGGTTGCCAGGAGCCCTTCTGTGAAATGCTGACATCCCCAGCCACCAGTTCCCAGCCACTCACCCACCCTGCACTTGTTCGGCCTCTGCCACATTCCTTAACTTTGCCACCTCTCTGTGCCCTCAGCTGTAAACTGAGAACCACACATACTTGGAGAGACAGTTGTATCACCACCACCACCTCTCCACCCGCTGCCTCGCACCCCCGCCACGTGCCCAGCACTTGTGCTCAGTTGATGCCCCACCTACCACAGTGTCACCTCCAGAACAACAATGCTTTCTTGCTCCAGCGGTCTTAGCCCTGTTTTCTAGATGGTGACACTAAGGCTCAGAGCAGTCCCACAGCTGGTCTGGAGTCACGCAACAGATAAGAGGCAGAACTAAGGTTCAAATTCAGGGCTTGCTGACTCCAAAGACTGGGTTCTTCCTACCCCAGTTCCTGCGTAGGTGAGCCTTCTCGACTCTTCCTACATCTTTTTTTGGCCAGGAGGGTGCAGCTTTCCCAGGGCTCTGGAGGTGCCTCCGGGTATCAGTGGATGTGTCTGCTCTGTGCCTACGAGTTCTTCCTCATGCTGTGGGGGGGGGCTGATTATGGCCTCCAAAGACACCACCGATCTAGTCCCAGGAGCCTGTAAGTGTGTTAGGCTACGTGGCAAAGGGGATTAAAGTTGCAGATTAAATTAGGGTGTCTCATCAGCTGGCACTAATGTAGGGAGGTCATCCTATTACCCGTGTGCCCAGGGCCATCACCAGCAGAAGGGGGACTTCGTGTCCAGACAGACCTTGGAGCTACTGCGGGTTCAGTTCTAGACGACGGCAGGGAAGCGAATGTCACGATAAAGTTAGTTGCATGAGGTTTTTGGTTTCCGGGTGCACATAAAAGTTATGTTCACACTAGCCTGTGAAAGTGTATTAAGTGTGTAATAGCATTATGTCTAACAAAAAAGGCATATCCCTTAAATCTAAAATGCCTTGTTGCTAAAAAGTGCTAACCATCACCCGAGCCTTCAGCAAGTTCTAATCTTTCTTGCTGGTGGAGAGTCTGGCCTCCATGTTGATGGCCGCTGACTGATGAGAGTGGTGGTTGCTGAAGATTAGTGGCTGTGACAATATCTTAAAATAAGACAGGAAAGAAGTTTGCGGCATCAATTGACTCTTCCTTTTGAGAACAGTTTCTCTGTAGCGTGTAGGGCTGCTTGGAGGCATTTTACCCACAGTAGAATTGCTTTCAGAACTAGATTCAGTCCTCTCAAAGCCGGCCGCTCTTTCTTCATCCACTAAGTTTGTGTCTTAGTCTAAATCCTTTGTGGTCATTTCAACAACCTATTAAGTTTGTCATCGTACATGGGAGCAGGTCATGGCACCCCAAAACAGTTACAATAGTGACAGCAAAGATCACTGATGACAGATCACTGTAACAAGTATAATAATCATGAAAAAATTTGAAATATTTTGAGAATGACCAGAACGGGACACAGAGATACAGAGTGAGGAAATGCTGTTGGAAAAATGGTGCCAGTAGACTTGCTCAAGGCAGGGTTGCCGCAAACCTTCAATTTGTGAAAAATCCCGTATCTGAGAAACGTAATGAAACTAGGTGTGCCTGTAGTCAAAATCATAGAGACTGAAAGTAGAATGGTGTTTGCCAGGGCCAAGGGGTAGCAGGAATGGGGCATTATTGTTTAATGAGTCCAGAGTTTTAGTTTTGCAAGATGAAAAGGGTCCTGGAGGTGGATGACGGCGATGGTTGTACAACAATGTGAATATACTT